GGCTGAAGTCGGACGCCAACCAACTGCGCCACCCAGGCGCCCCACCTGAATATTTTTAAATGCCTACTGTTCTTGTTTCATATATGCAATATTCTGTCCTTTAAGGATATTAATTATAGGCTTAAGAAAAATTTCTCATCCCTACATTCTCTGCTTCTTTGAAGTTTCTTTCTGTTTGCATATTTTAAATATTTATTTATTTATTTACTTATTTATTTTTATTTGAGAGAGTGAGGGAGGGCCGATGTGGGAATTGATCCCACAATGCTGGGATCGTGACCTGAGCCAAAATCAAGAGTCAGACACTCAACTGGCTGAGCCACCCAGGTGCCCCTCTGTTTGCATATTTTAATCTTTCAAACTAGATGCTTTCCTTAGGTGTCTGATGACTCTTGGCTGTCCACTCATATGTAAGAGTGGACAAGCAAGCTCTGTGTGCAAGGTGGGGCTGATGAACTCTGGGGCTTCCCTGTAAGAGATCAGGTACTCTTCATACTGGCATATCCTTCAGTAATTATAATATACAGTCAAGTTAGTAATCACTTTTATAGTTTTGATGTCTAATCTCTAAGTGGCATCTCACATTGAGATATTATGGTGATACAGAACCACGACTTAATTTATGAGGCCACATACAGTTTCAAAGTGCTGGGATTTTCATTCATACTTTTATATGCCATGATTATTCCATTACAACTGTGAGGACTTTTGAAACTACTTTGTGTTTACAGTTTTATCTTCATTTGTTTTAGAGACATCATACTTAAGTTAGGTTTCTATAGTTCTTAATTTTTCCAAGTTCATTCACATCTTTTTAAAAATTTTTTCCTGAATATATCATTCTAAGTTAGGAGTAGATGGCTCCAAGTTTGAAATATAATATAGCTGTTTTTGAACATGTGATTATTTTCTCATCAGGCTGTGGGTAATGACAGTTAATGCACTTCAACCTTCAGTAAAGTTTGTACGACAGCAAAAGTATACTCAGAATGACCTGATGATAGATCCTCTCATTGTCCTAAGATGTGATCAGAGGGTACACAGGTATGTGTCATTTGAGTTTCATTTTTATTTTGGAGTTATACTTTGGAGAGTCAAACGAAATTGAAGAAATTTAGTTTAAGCTTATATCTTACTGTTCTTACAGATAATTGGCAGTATGAGCTGTGAGGTTTTGTTTTTTTGTCTTCAGTCAAGAACTATTTATTCAGTTTAATATTTAATATGTGATTAGTAAAACCTAGCCTTGTTGCTAGCATTTTTGTAAAAGGCTTTTAAAAAATTGGCTTAGTATGAACTGTTATGTACACTAAAGCTGTGATCTTTTTGGCATTTTCAGTTGTGATGTTAGCTTGATTCCACACTTGTCTATAATTCCTTGTCAGTTTTTGAACTTAATCAATTGTGTTGAAGTGACTTCACCTCAAGGGGCAGATTTTGTTAATTCACATCAACATTTGAATTTCCAATTGCTAAGTAATCTCAAAGATATATAGGATGAGGGGCCTGCCTTTGAAGTGATTATTGCCTGTATGGGGAAATAATACAAACACATGAGAAGTTAAATAATATGGTCATTTGCAGATGAATGGTATAGTATATGAATGCTGTTAAAGGATCAGGAAAGATGTAGATGAAGTGGGACCTGAGTAGTATTTTAAAGGATAGAAATAGGGTTTAGATGAGTAGATACTATAATGATGGGGCTAAGGGGTCAAGGAAGGCATTGTGGGAAAAAGAACAGTTTTGAGCAAAAGTATAGAAACACAAATGAAAAAGGCTTTGTTGGAATGGAGGGGTAAGTTGTTGAGAGGAACACACTTTAGAACTGGAATGTCAAGTTGGGGTCAGACTATCGAGGGCCTTGAATGTTAGGCTAAAGAGGTCATGTAGGTGGTACCTTGAGAAGCCTTAGGTTAGATGGCTTGGGATGGGGGAAGGAAACTGGAGTTAAAGAAGACTTAACCAGGATATATACTCTCTGAATGTACTCCTCTCTCCTCAACTGAAGGATGATATTTGTGAAGTGACAAAAGTTGCAAAATCAGCCACGTATGGTTTGGTGAGATCAAGGTCTCATAGGAAATAGGAATCAAAAGAATGAACAGTATAAATGACACTTAAGTATCTAATAAAAGAAAAATAGCAGTAAATAACACTTCCAGAAAAAAACTTCTAAAACAATTTCAGTGTTAAAAATCCACTTAAGTAGGTAACTTTTCACTTGAATTGTCTCCAGTTGTTCAAGAAGTTGTCAAATTATGCTATCATAATGTATGTAATGTTTTTGTAGCTTAGATTTTCACTTGTGAAACTTTCCCTCCATTAATAGGTATTCTTATATCTATTGGCTGCATAATATTCCATATAGATACGCTATGCTTAACCCAATCCCTATTGTTGGATATTTTGCTTATTTCTGTTATTTGTTATCATCAGTAGTGCTGTGGTGACTGTGTACTGAGAATTTCCTTAGAACAGATTCTTTTTTTGTAAACATTTTATTTTTAAAGTTTATTTATTTAAGTAATCTCTGTAACCAATGTGGGGCACCAAATTCATGACCCTGAGATTAAGAGTTGCATGCTTTTCTGACTAAGCCAGTCAGGTGCTCCAGAGCAGACTCTTAAAAATAGAATTATGGAGGCAAAAGTAACATGCTCATTTTCAAGACTTTTCATTCATATTTTTCGTATTCATATTTTGATTCATACTCATATTTTTATTCTGCCATCTAGAACGGCTGAACCGGTTTATAGATTGAATATTTTAATATGTTTATTGGCTATTGCTATCTCTTCTTTATATTTTAGTCTACTTTTCTATTATAATGCTTATCTTTTTTGATTTGGAAAGACTTCTTCATAAAGGATATTAGCGCACGTGCTCTCTCACGCACTCTCTCTCTCTCTATATATATATATATAGCTGGTTTTTCCTGTGTGGTTCTATTTTGCCTTTTAATTTTGTTAATTAAAAAAACATTTTTTAATGTTTATTTTTGAGAGAGAGAGAGAGAGAGACACAGTGTGAGTGGGGGATGGGCAGAGAGAGAGGAAGACACAGAATCCAAAGCAGGCTCCAGGTTCTAAGCTGTCAGCACAGAGCCTGACATGGGGCTTAAGCCCATGAACTGTGAGATTGTGACCTGAACCAAAGTCGGACACTTGACTGACTGAACCACTTAGTAGGTGCCCCAATTTTGTTAATTTTTTTAAAATTTAACTTTTTTACCAAGTGATCATCCAAATGGTTTTTAAAAATATCAAATAATATAAAAAGATATATGCATAAAAAGATATGACGTTTAGGATTTGCTTTGAACTAACCCAGTGTTGGTGGTGGGAAAGTGGATGCGGGCATAGAGGAAATGACTGGCCATATGTCGATAACTGTTGAAGCTAGGTGATTAGTTACTGGAGATTCATTATCATATTTCCTTTTTTATGTGTGTATGAAACTTTTCATTATATTAGTAATGTGAACAAACACATTAGTGTTCATTAGTAAGTGAACAAACACATTAGTGTTTATTAGTAAGTGAACAAACAAGAAGATTAACAGTAAGAAAAAGGTATACAGTGAAAAATCTTATTCTTTCTCATTATCTACTACGTTGCCATGGCTAAAGCAAAATTGTTCTTTGGCCTCCTGACCAATCCTAGTTACGTGTCCAGAGAAAACTTTGTTGTCATAATGGTTTGTATGTAGTTTTACTTTCTACATATTTATAAATTTATAAGTAGAAATACTTTTTTCCCCAGTGGTTTAAAAAAAACACAAGTAATACATTGTAGGTATTATTTTGTTCTTTTAAAAAAAAACTTAGTGTTGTTTATATGTTTTCCATATTGATACGCATAGTTCTACCTCATTTAACTTCTGCATAGTATTCCATATGTAAATTACTAGGCCTGTCCTCCAGAAACTCTGATTTGAAATTTTGGAATGGAGCTTGAGTTGTTTTTGTTTTGTTTTGTTTTGTTTTGTTTTATTCAAATAAGTACCCCAGATTATTCTTCTCTTCAATTTTAGGAAACATTGCCATAGTTTTTTAACCATTGACATATTTTTTTTTTTCACTGTGAATACACAGATGCTTATTATAGAAAATTTGGACATTTCAGAAAAACCATGGATATATTATTGATGAACATTTAAGCTGTTTGCATTGTTTCACAGTTATAAACACAGCTATACTGCCTGCTTATGCACACATGCTAGTTCCCTCTGTGATAGACTGAGAAGTGACATTTTCCGGTTATTCTAAGGGCTTGGCTTTTTAAATTTTAGTGGTTACTAATTTGTCTTTTTTGTTGTTTTCTTTCTTTTTTTTTTTTTTAAAGTTTATTTATTTTTGATAGAGGGAGAGTGTGGGTGGGGAGGGCAGAGGGAGAGAGGGACACAGAATCCGAAGCAGGCTCCAGGCTCTGAGCTGTCAGCACAGAGCCTGATGCAGGGCACGAACTCACAAACTGTGAGATCATGACCTGAGCCAAAGTTGGACCCTTAACCGACTGAACCACCCAGGCGCCCATTTATATTTCTTATATTTGTTCTTATCTCATTTAAATTTAATCTGTAACATTCTTTTAGGAATGAATAACTATATTTTTTTATAGATGAGGAAACTGGGGCTCAGAAAATAACTTACTCCAGGTCAAGTGGATGAAGAACTTTTGGAATACAGAGTTGTCGTGCTCCAAAGAAGAAACAAGAGTAGAAAGAATTAACTATTCTGTTCTAATCTCCTTCATGTTATCGATAATAGAATATTTCTCTTTGAGGACAGCTGCTTCGCAGTTTCATCATCTAAGAGATTTACTGGTAGTGTCAACGTTTGCAAAAAAGGAATCTTGTCTCTAGGGCACACATTTATATTTGATTTTAGCTGATAAGATGGAATAGTTAATACTTAAAATATTTTCAATATAATCTTGAAATACAGAGGTTAAGACAAATATATTAAACTTTTATGTTTAGAATAAATATTTCAGTGGGAAAAGTGTTACTACTCTTTTTAGTTTTTTTCAGGTACTGTTCAGGACTGATTGATCATGTTCTGGCTAATTTATAAATTTATTTCTTTCTCAACTATTTTTCTTTTTTCTGTGTTTAGATGCCCGCCACTGATGGATATCACTCTACACATGTTGAATGGATACCTTCTTGCATCCAAAGCCTATCTTAGCGCTCATCTGAAGGAAACAGCAGAGCAAGATAGGCCTTCTCAGAATAATACAATAGGCTTAGTTGGGCAAACTGATGGCCCAGAAGTTACCAGAGAAGAATTGAAAAATGCATTACTGGCTGCTCAGGTAATAAAATAGAATTTAGTCTAGAAAGGCATGAGCTTCTGTCTTAATATAATGAGTTAAATAGATGTTATTTGATAGCCCTCTGTGTACAGTGGTGACATATTATGAATTTCTTTTTTTTTTTTTAATGTTTATTTATTTTGAGAGAGAGAGAGACAGAGAGACAGAATGTGAATGGGGGAGGGTCAGAGAGAGACGGAGACACAGAATCAGGCTCCAGGCTCTGAGCTGTCAGCACAGAGCCTGATGCGGGGCCTGAACCCACAAACTGCGAGATCATGACCTAAGCTGAAGTCGGACACTTAACCAACTGAGCGCCCACCCAGGTGCCCCATGAATTTCTTTCATTACAGAATGTATTATAATGGTATTACCTTTGCCACTGAATATCAAATGGACTGTATTACTAAAATTAGGAATAATCTTTATGATATTAGGTTAATAGCCATTTATTTTATTTTATTTTATTTTATTTTATTTTATTTTATTTATTTTTTGGTTAATAGCCGTTTAAACAAGATTTACATTTTAACAAAGTATAAAACTTTTGTTTCTTAAAATCAAATGGTGGAGACAAATAGAACAAGAAGTATATATATAATAAAATGTCATGTAGTGGTAAACAGTATGACAACATAAGGAGTTTGGTTTTATATTTAGAAAAGTTTTATAACAATGTAGAATTTTACTGAAACCTTAAGTAGTCATTTTTTGAATAAGACAGGAGATGTGAGATGATTAAATGTTAAACAATTTGAAGTCTTTAAAGTATAAATGTTTTCTTAGTTTGAAATATATTTTCTGAGGGACGCCTGGGTGGCTCAGTCAGTTGAGAATCTGACTCTTTTTTTTTTAAGCTTTTGTTTATATATTTTAGGAGAGAGAGAGAGAGTGAGAGCAAGTAGGGGAGAGGCAGAGAGATAGAGGCAAAGAGAATCCCAAGTAGGCTCCACACTATCAGCGCAGAGCCTGACACGGGGCTCAGTCTTATGAATCATGAGATCATGACCTGAGCCAAGATCCGGAGTCAGACACTTAATCAACTGAGCCACCCAGGCACCCCAAGCGTCTGAGTCTTGATTTCAGCTCTGGTCATGATCCCAGGATCGTGGGATCAAGCCCTGTGTTGGGGTCCGTGCTGAGTGTGGAGCCTGCTTAAGATTCTCTCTCTCTTTCTGCCCCTCTCCCTTCCTCACGTGCTTTTTCTCTCTCTAAAATAAAATAAAGAACAACCAAAAAACAAAAACAAAAACAAAAGCTGGAACCGAGATATATTTTTTGAAATATTTTCATTGGCAATTAATGGAATTCGAATAATAATATAAGTCCACAGTCCCTTATCTGTGATACAGAAATCCAAAAAGCTATGAAAACTGAAGCATTTGTTTGGTAATTCAGTTGGCAGAAAAACCTGACCTGATGTGGTCTCATTTGTGACCTGAATTGATATGAAGCTATTTATGGCCTTATCCCACTTATTTGTGAATATTGTTCTGCTGTAGAAATGTGAATATGTTTGACTGCAGTGTGTGCTACCCTAGTCTCTGCTGGAGGTATTATATAATATCACATTAAAAGGAATTCTGGGGGCACCTGGCGGGCTCAGTCAGTGGAGCATGCGACTCTTGATCTTGGGGTCGTGAGTTTGAGCCCCATTAGATGAGGAAACTGCCAGAAAATAACTTAATTCTAGGTCAGTGATGAAGAACTTTTGGAATACAGAGTTGTCGTGCTAAAGAAGAAACAAGAGAGAAAGAATTAGTATTCTGTTCTAATCTCTCATGTTATCGATAATAGAATATTTCTCTTTTGAGGACAGCTGCTTCAACTGAGTTTCATCATCTAAGAGATTTACTGGTAGTGTCACGCTTTGCAAAAAAGGAATCTTGTCTCTAGGGCAAACATTTATATTTGATTTTAGCTGATAAGATGGAATTGTAATACTTAAAAATATTTTCAATATAATCTTGAAAATACAGAGGTTAAGACAAATATATAAACTTTTATGTTTGAATAAATATTTCAGTGGGAAAAGTATTATACTCTTTAGTTTTTTTCAGGTACTGTTCAGGACTGATCTGTACTGAGATTGATCTTCTGGCTAATTTATAAATTCTATTTTCTCAACTATTTTTCTTTTTTTCTGTGTTTAGATGCGCCACTGATGGATATCACTCCACTACATGTTGAATGGATACCTTCTGTAGTCCAAAGCCTATCTTAGCGCTCATCTGAAGGAAACAGCAGGAGCAAGATAGGCCTTCTCTCAAATAATACAATAGGCTTAGTTGGGCAAACTGATGGCCCAGATTACCAGAGAAGAATTGAAAAATGCATTACTGGCTGCTCAGGTAATAAAATAGAATTCTAGTCTAGAAAGGCATGAGCTTCTGTCTTAATATAATGAGTTAAATAGATGTTATTTGATAGGCCCTCTGTGACAGTGGTGACATATTATGAATTTCTTTTTTTTTTTTAATGTTTATTTATTTTGAGAGAGAGAGACAGAGAGACAGAATGTGAATGGGAGGGTCAGAGAGAGATCGGAGAATGATCAGGTCTCAGCAGGCTCCAGGCTCTGAGCTGTCAAGCACAGACATTGATCCGCGGGCCTGAACCCACAACGCGAGATCATGACCTGGCTGTAAGCTGGACACTTAACAACTGAGCCACACCCAGGTGCCCCATGAATTTCTTTCATTACAGAATGTATTATAATGGTATTACCTTTGCCACTGAATATCAAATGGACTGTATTACTAAATAGGAATAATTCAGATATTATGATATTAGGTTAATATTTATTTTATTTTATTTTATTTTATTTTATTTTATTTTATTTTTTGGTTAATAGCGTTTAAACAAGATTTACATTTTAACAAAGTATAAAACTTTGTTTCTTAAAATCAAATGGTGGAGACAAATAGAACAAGAAGTATATATATAATAAAATGTCATGTAGTGGTAAACAGTATGACAACATAAGGAGTTTGGTTTTATATTTAGAAAAGTTTTATAACAATGTAGAATTTTACTGAAACCTTAAGTAGTCATTTTTTGAATAAGACAGGGAGATGTGAGATGATTAAATGTTAAACACTTGAAGTCTTTAAAGCTATAAATGTTTTCTTAGTTTGAAATATATTTTCTGAGGACGCCTGGGTGGCTCAGCAGTGAGAATCTGACTCTTTTTTTAAGCTTTTTTTTATATATTTTAGGAGAGAGAGAGTGAGAGCTAAGTAGGGAGAGGCAGAGATAGAGGCAAAGAGATCAAGCTAGGCTCCACTGTCAGCTAGAGCTGACACGGGCTCAGTCTTATGAATCATGAGATCAGACCTGAAAGATCCGGAGTCAGACACTTAATCAACTGAGCCACCCAGGCACCCCAAGCTGCCGTGAGTCTTGATTTCAGCTCTGGCTCATGTCCCAGGATCGTGATCAAGCCCTGTGTTGGGGTCCGTGCGAGTGGGAGCGCTTAAGATTCTCTCTCTCTGCCCCTCTCCCTTCTCACGCTTTTTTTCTCTCTAAATAAAATAAAGAACAACCAAAAAAACAAAAAAAACAAAAACAAAAGCTGGAACCAGAGATATATTTTTTGAAATATTTTCATTGGCAATTAATGGAATTCGAATAATAATATAAGTCCACAGTCCTTATCTGTGATACAGAAATCCAAAAAAGCTGAAAACTGAAGCATTTGTTTGGTAATTCAGTTGGCAGAAAATCTGACCTGATGTGGTCTCATTTGACCTGAATTGATATGAAGCTATTTATGGCCTTATCCCACTTATTTGTGAATATTGTTCTGCTGTAGAAATGTGAATATGTTTGACTGCAGTGTGTGCTACCCTAGTCTCTGCTGGAGGTATTATATAATATCACATTAAAAGGAATTTGGGGCACCCATGGCTCCAGTCAGTGGAGCATGCTAATTTTGATCTTCGTGTGAGTTTTGTTGGGCATATGTTAGAGCTGAGCTTTCAAAAAAAAAAAGATTGAGTTCTAAAGAAATCTGGCTCTCAGTTTCAGATAAGGGATTGAGGATTGTAATAGCTGCCATTTACATAATGCTTGTTATATGCTGAATGCTATTCTAATTTCTTTATATATTTAATTTATATACAATTATATATGTAATATATATGTTACATATTATTTATATAATTTATATTATATATTTAATCTAATACTAATCTAAGTTCTTTATCTTATTTAATCTTCACAGCCAATCTGTGAGGTATGGAGTATTATCATCTCCATTTTTATAGATTAGGAAAATAAGACTTAGGGAGGTTAAGTCACTTGCTCAAGGCCACACATTTAGTAAGTGGCAGAGCTAGTATTCAAGCCTGGGTAGTCTGGCACCAGAGTCTACAAACAAAAACACAACAAATCAATAACAACCCCAAACCAAAAACCCTTCAACCCAAGAATTATAAAGTAAAGCTGACCTTACTTCATTAATGATTATAATGTAAGGCTAACCTTACTTTATGATCAAGTTCTGAAAACAGTTAGATGAAGTAATTGTTTTCTTCCATTCCAGGCAATGGCTATCTTCCAGAGATAGATACATCATGTTGTGTGTGTGTGTGTGTGTGTGTGTGTGTGTGTGTGTGTGTGTGTGT